GCCACGCCCTCCCCACACCCTCCCTTAGGCCCCTCTCCACAGCCCTCCCCACCGTTTCTGTCCCACGCCCTCCTGGCCGCCCTGGCCCCTGATTCGCTGCCGGCCAGAGCCCGCCCTGCCCCGTAAGAGGGAACCCTGGGGTCGGGGCTGCCTCGGCTTCGCCCGCAGGAAACCACGTGGCCCCGGGGCGGCCCGTCGCGGGCGGCAGGGGTCCCCGCAGGAAGAGGGCCGCCCGGGCCGGGAGGGTGCCTGGGGAGCACGCCTGGGGAGCGCGGCCCGGCCACGCTGGGGTTCGCGGGGCGCACTCACTCGAGCTCCTTGAAGCGCTCGCGGCCCGCCGCCACGTACTTGCCGCCCGCCTGCAGCGCGTCCAACGCCAGCACCGGGCGCCCCCGCGTGGGCGTGAAGAGGCGGCGCACGCCGAACGGGACGTCCACCTGCTCCGTGAGCTGCTCCAGCAGCGCCTCGAAGGTGGCGCCGCGGCGCCGCGGCAGCACGAACCTCCTGCCCGGGGAGAACGGGTCCCCGTTGCGGTACACCACGATGGTCTTGGCGGGCGTGGTGTCCAGCAGCGCGGGGGGCCCGCGGGTGCCCATGGCCGCGCCCCGCTCCTCACTCGCCGGGGCCGACAGGCGGCAACGCGGGCAGAGACGCCTGCAGAGCCGCGATCGGACCCAGGCACGGCGGACAGGAGGTCGCGGGACAGAGACGGACGGGGCTCCCGGGCGGGGGCTGCACGTTGACGTGACCCCGGGCAATTGTGACCTCCAGGGCGAGGGGCGCGGTGCCGGGGCAGGAGAGGGGTAACGGGGAGCCCGGGCAGGAGACGGGGTAACGGGGAGCCCGGGCAGGAGAGGGGGTCACGGGGAACCCCGGGCAGGTGAAGGGGTCACGAGGAACCCCGGGCAGGTGAAGGGGTCCCGGGGAACCCCGGGCAGGTGAAGGGGTCCCGGGGAAGCCCGGGCAGGTGAAGGGGTCACGGGGAAGCCCGGGCAGGTGAGGGGGTCACGGGGAAGCCCGGGCAGGTGAGGGGGTCACGGGGAAGCCCGGGCAGGTGAGGGGGTAACGGAGAGCCCGGGCAGGTGAGGGATAACGGGGAACCCCGGGCAGGTGAGGGGGTAACGGAGAGCCCGGGCAGGAGAGGGGGTAACGGGGAACCCCGGGCAGGTGAAGGGGTAACAGAGAGCCCGGGCAGGTGAGGGGTAACGGGGAACCCCGGGCAGGTGAGGGGGTAACGGGGAGCCCGGGCAGGTGAGGGGTAACGGTGAACCCTGGGCAAGTGAGGGGTAATGGGGAACCCCGGGCAGGTGAGTGTCCTGGCGGCAGAGCTCAGGAAAAGAAGAGGAGGAGGTGAGAGTGATTGTGCTGAGCGCCCCAGAGCCCTCCTGCTACACTCGCTGCCCTCCTCTGCAGAAGTCGTAGAGAGGAGGGGAGGGAGGGGGGGACCAGGGCCATCTAGACAATCAGCATTGGATGGGTGCTGGGAGCCTGTTCACATTTTTGAGCCTCTGTGTCTTTGATGTTAGGTTGAATTTGACCAGTTCAGCCCCAGAACCTTCTAGGACTCCTGGCCCAGGTGGGGAATTTGAGCTTCTCCACCCGAGGAGGAGCTGTGCAGAGCCACTGGGAGCCTGTGAGGAGCAGCCGCTGCAGCCACGGGCATGTGGTGTCAGGCGTGTACCACTCAGAACACAGCCTCATTTGAGTTAACAATGATTCAAAGTGAGAGGTGGTCTTTGGAAAAATCGTTCCCATTCTGGGTAAAGATAGGCCAGTCCTCTTGAGTGATCCTAGAAATCACTCAAGTGATTCTAGAAATAAAATTTCCCAGTGGTTTTGATGAGCTTGACAAAGTTTCAAAGACAGTAGGCTACATGTGCCGCTGGAAGTCCACACTGAAGGTATGGAATATAGACATTATCAATATCAACCTCTGATATGTGAATATCAGTATCTTATAGTGTCCAAAAGAAAGTAATTCCTCAGAGACCACCTAGCATTCGCAGCCAGTATGTAACCTACAAAATGCCTCATAGCAACATTAACTGCAGAGATCAATTTGTGAGATGACCACTTTATTAAATCACCAGGTGTTGAACACACTTGAAAAGAAGCCTGTGACCGGGAAATTACTGCCATATATCCGACACCAGGGCTTTGTGTGTGTTAAGGGTTTGCTCTGAGGCCCACTTTCACCGAGAACTTCATCATGGGCTTCTCCCAGGGCCTCAGGAGGCAGATGGAGCTGGGGAAGCCCCTGAGCCGAAGGCGGCTCACTCCCCCGTCAGGGACAATGATGAGCCTCGCGTGAGTGATGACATCTTGGAACTCCAGGGTCAGGCTGTCGAACAGGTGACTTTGGTTGGGGGACAGGTGAAAAGCAAGCAGATGCACGGGATCCTAGTCTGCTAAGAGGGCATGTGTGGCCGAATGACCCCACACCCAGGGCAAACCTTTGCCTTGGGCTTGGGCTTTAAAATAAGTGATTCATTGATGATAATTGGGCTTTCCATGAAAATCTGTTAGTAGGGACAGGATGCCCAAATAATACATGAATAATCAGACCCCAATAAACAGCTGATGGGCAACTTAAATGCCCATCAATTATCTCTTATAGTTGATTATACATAAGCAAATTGGTAAGAAAATGAAAGATTATCTTGGTCTCTCCCCGAGGTTATTTTCTGTCTTTACATGGGAGCAGCTCTCACCTCCAGCCTGACCGTCTTTCTAAATCAAAGAAAACACTTGTGAAATATCTCGGAGTGTCCATCCTGCAGGTGGACACTCCATGATCGCTTTAAATGTGCTAGTCACCCCATCTACAAAGCTTCCATGTATGCATTCTGAGCACTTAACAATCTCGTTCTAACAAAATTTGACTAGAAATACAAAAGTGGAGAGAAATAGAGCCTTTCTTCTCATTTAAGTTAGCAGATATGGGTTTTACAACCTCATTCATTTTACCATTAAACTGAGCAGAAACCTTGGAGTTGTATCCTAATCCTTCAAAAGAGAATCTTAGGGAAATAGCCCAGGCTGAGTGCTGGCTCCTACCAGCGCCACACGAACCTTGGTCACGGGAAGCAACGGTTTCCACCTGTGGGCCGGGAGAGTCCACTTTTGCTTGATCATGTCTTCTTCTTCCTGAGTTGTCAGGATGCACCCATCCACTTTACAGCTGTCAGGAGCATTGCCTGTTGCAGCAAAACACAGAGTGACTTACTGCCCTTGTGATAAGAATGAAAAGCCCAGCAAAAGCAGAGGTATGAAGATGTGAGAGAAGGAACAAACCAGTTTGTGATGCTCAGATTGCCTCATGAAATAGAGACTTCCTTTTCAGAGCAATCAGAAGCAGTCCACCATTTGTGAAGGGGCTGGCGCATTTCAGTTTGAATGCATAGTGTTCTTACTTTGAAATCTGAATGTATTTGATAAGCTTCCTCAATTGCAGATTTAATTACTTGCAGACTGCCGTGTGGCTCATGTGAAATTATTATGAAGATGGAAAATATTTTCCTATGATACCATATTTTTTAACATGATGATCAAAAGGAAATACTGAGTTATATGTTAGCTAATGCTGGGCATCAGTCACACACATCTATTTGGGAATTTCTGACTCATCTTCAGGTGAGAGTATACACTCCTGAGAGTCTTCTGTCTTTGGAATACCACAGGAATCGTGTGCTCAGTCGGGTTAGAGGACCCTGGGGGAAGGTCCCCCTCTCTTTATGAAGAATGCTTCTATCAGGGCTCTTTGAGACTTTAAGACCCACAGAGAAGAGCTGCTAATCAAGAACCCTGTACAAGAGGAGGCAATGGCTCACATGCCCCCTTTGTGGCCCATCTCTTAAAATGGTGGTCTCCAGGATGGCTGAACATGCCTCTGGGGTACATAGAGACACAAGGGATGCAAGTAGAGAACATTAGGGACACTATTTCTATTTGATACACATACGTGTGTATGTGTATATTAAGCTTTGTGTATTTGATATAACTTACTATATTGCTATAAGTGGATGCTCCCTGATTTCCATGATAGTCAGCATATTGTTCCAGAGGTATCCTGAGTGATTGACAGTGGTAGATTCATGACCTGTTGCAATTTGGGTTACCTCCTTAAGTGGATTTACTGTTTAGTTTTAACTAAAGCATCCCTCACAAAAATAAACAAGTTATTTTAAACCATTCATGCAGAGAACTGTGGATTAAACATACCACAAAAAATGCAAGCATGTATGAACAAGAAAAGAGCAGAGCTGCCATTTCACCTGACCCTCAGTCAGCCACATTGAAAAGAAAAAAACACGGCCACATAACCAGGTCTAAAATGCAGTCTTAAAAAACAGGCAATGGGGAAAGGTGTTGGGATAACTGGCTAGCCATACGCAAAAGATTGAAACAGGCCCTTCCTTATGCCATATACAAAAATCAACTTGAAATGGATTAAAGGCTTAAATGTAAAACCCAAAACTATAAACACCCTGGAAGAAAACTTAGGAAATAGCATTCTGGACACAGGAACTGGCAAAGATTTCACGATGAAGATGCCAAAAGCAATTGCAACAAAAGCAAAAAAAAAAAAAAACAAAAAAACAAATGGGATCTAAGTAACCTAAAGCTCCTGCACAGCAAAATAAACCATCGACAGAGTAAAGAGACAACCTACAGAATGGGAGAAAATGTTTTCAACCTATGCTTCTGACAAAGGTCTAATATCCTGAATCTATAAGAAATTTAAACAAATTTCCAACCAAAAATAACCCCATTAAAAAATGGACCAAGGACATAAACAGACACTTTTCAAAAGAAGACACACACACAGGCAACAAGCATATGAAAAAATGCCTGACATCACTAATCACTGAGAAATGTAAATCAAAACCACTGTGAGATACCATCTTGCACCAGTCAGAATGGCTGTTAAAAAAAAATCAAAAAGTAACAGATGCTGGCAAGGCTGTGGAAAAAAGGAAACAGATATAAACTGCTGGTGGGAGTATAAATTGGTTCAGCCATTGTGCAAAGTGGTATAGCGATTCCTCAAAGAACTAAAAACAGAATTACCATTTGACTCAGCAATCCCATTATTTGGTGTCTACCCAGAGGAATATAAATCACTCCACCATAAAGACACATGCACGTGTATGTTCACTGCAGCACTGTTTACAATAGCAAAGACACGGAGTCAACCTAAATGTCCATCAGTTGTAGACTGGCTAAAGAAAATATGATACATATACAACATGGAATACTATACAGCCATAAAAAAGAAGAGATAATGTCCTTCACAGTAACATGGATGCAGCTGGAGACGATTATTCTTAGCAAACTAACAGAGGAACAGAAAATCAAGTACCATGTGTTTTCATAAGTGGGTGCCAAATAATGGGAACACATGGGCACATGGACACTGGAGCCTACTTGAAGGTGGAGGGTGGGAGAAGGGAAATCAGAAAAAATTACCTACTGGGTAATATTGGTACTTGATACCTAGGTGATAAAATAATCTGTACATCAAACCCCCATGACACGAGTTTACCTATATAACAAACCTGCACATTTACCCTTAAACCTAAAATAATAATTAAAAGAAAAAAATAGATAAAATGCAGTCTTTTTTAAATAAGTTAAAATTATCTAGACTTCTTCGAATAACTATTGGCACTACTGTTGATGATGAGCCTAACCTTAAACTTGATATCATGGTTAACAATTGAGTAAAATCACAATAATTCCCAAGATATTGAAAAACCACTCACCCAAAACATGAATATAAACTGCCACTATTTATTCAAAGATGGCTAATGTGGAATACTCAATCCAGTACTTATAAAATCTCACATAACAATTATAAAAGTGTGGCAACTTCTTTTGAAATTTCTTAATAATACACATAATGTATTTCATAAGAAAGTAAATATAGAATATCAGGGTTGCTTGTCCAAGTATTTTTTTTTTTTTTTTTTTTTTTTTTTTTTTTTTTTTTTTTTACAAATAGAAGAGCACAGTTTTAAAAAAATGTGTAAATCACTGCCTTAAAAGTGAAGCCTGGGGAAGAAATGGTCACTCCCCTCCCCTGGTCAATCTGCTTAGGACCCTTCTCTATAAAATGATGCCTGCCATCCCTGTGCTTCTCACAGGCTGTCTCCGAGGGGGATGCAGAGCCTAGTAAAGAGCTGGACAGTGTCATTGAATCTTGTACGACTTTGGGGATCATCCAGCCAAACTGTGAATTTTATAGAGGGGTTACTAAAGTTCAAAGCATTGGCTGGGCGTGGTGACTAACACCTGTAATCCCACCACTTTGGGAGGCCAGGGCAGTTGTATCAGCTGAGGTCAGGAGCTCGAGACCAGCCTGGTCAACATGGTGAAACCCCGTCTCTACTAAAAATACACAAATTAGCCAGGTGTGGTGGTGGGCACTTGTAATCCCAGCTACTCAAGAGGCTGAGGCAGGAAGAATCACTTGAACACAGGAGGTAGAGGTTATAGTAAGCCAAGATTGCACCGTATGTTTTCATAAGTGGTGCTACACTGCACTCCAACCTGGGCGACAGAGTGAGAGTCTGTCTCAAAAATAAGTAAATAAGGACCGGGCACGGTGGCTCAGACCTGTAATCCCAGCACTTTGGGAGGCTGCAGCAGGTGAATCACCTGAGGTCAGGAGTTCGAGACCAGCCTGACCAACATGACAAAACCCCGTCTCTACTAAAAATATAAAAATTAGCTGGGTGTGGTGTTGAGTGCCTGTAATCCCAGCTACTCGAGAGATTGAGGCAGGAGAATCATTTGGACCTGGGAGGTGGAGGTTGCAGTGAGCTGAGATGGTACCACTGCACTCCAGCCTGGGAGACACAGCAAGACTCCATCTCAATAAATAAATGATGAGAGATAGATAGATAGATAGATAGATAGATAGATAGATAGATGATAGAGTTCTGAGGGTTAAAGTAGCATGCTCAAAATTATACAGCTTAAGTGGAGATTCCACACCAAGAGCCCACTGTCCTCAGTTTCACTTCCATAAAACAGTCTTTAGAATAAACACACCAATTATAATGTACTTCTTTATAGCTTTGCATTTACCTTTAAAATATTTTGTGTCAATTTCAATTTGCCTTATTACTCCAGGATGTGCCAATCGGAAAACTGCCCATTCACAACCCGGAACCAAGAGAATGCCATTCTCATCATTCTGGAATTCAGAAAAGAAGAAAATGGTAAACGAACTTGAAGCCATTCAAGAAACCAGTCCGGAAAACCAACAAGTGAAAAAGGTTGACATGTTTCTTTTATTTCTTGCTATAGAAGAATGTTTCCTGTGACCTGATGTATAAATGACTTTCATGTAAATTGCCTCTTTGCTATCATTCCTTAAATGTCTCATGCCAATTTGTGAGTTCATTGGATCCCAGATAAGTTTTTCTAAATTTCTGATATGATTTTCTATGTCAATTACAGATCCCTGCAAAATGTTATACATGCAGGGATCCTTATCTAATCCAGCCCATAGGTCTTCTAATTAGTTTGTTTTGACCTTTCAAGGTACATATTTTGTTGGTCAAACCTATACTGATACATGATGTGCATCGAAACCTTAGCTTTGAGAACAGATAGTTTCTTCATTGATATCTCAAAGCGTCAGGTGACATGAAATCCAACTTAGGAAAGGGAGGGCACTTTTCTGACCAAGTGTTCAGTGGGATTTGCAAACTGAAAGGTATCGTCTTGCTTTGTTTCACTTCATCTTGGTTTCTCTATCTTGAATCAGTCACTGGCCAAATTAAACAACTCTATGAACTTTAGAGCACTCTGTTTGTCACAAGTTTATATAAGTGGAGTAATCCTGAGATACACAGATAGTAAACATTACTAAACTAGTGGCTCTTCCCCAGATCTCCCAACACATTTATTCATAATTTTTGTACTATTAAATCACAGCTCTTTTTGTTTCTTTATTGAAGAAACAAAGGAATGTTCCAAAAATGCATTGGAGTATCTGACAATGACCAGTACATTTGGCCTTCTGAGTCTCTGCCCTGATATTATCATGAAAACAGGAGGAAATTTGGAAAATGTAAATCACAGTAATTAGCATTTAGAACAATGCATATGAGGTTTCTAAAATAAGCAAACATTTATTTAAATGAAAAAGAAGTTCCAAAAATACTTTGTAGAAAAATCACATCGTTATTTTTAACTTCTTACTTCTAATATCGGTGGCCTGTCCAGCCTTCTTGCAGTTTCCCAGCCATCCACCATAGACTTTGCACTGCCAACTCCTACAGAAAATAACATTGTTGAATGGTAAGCTGCATGATTTTAAGCGTGAGGAGGAATACATTGCTATAATTATATTACAGATCTTACGCACCTGAGCATTGCTACATGTTATTTTCACTAAAGTGAATGTTTCCATAAATTCACAAACAATCATAGGGTTAGTTAAATTTTACTTTTCCTTTTAAAGCAGCTACTTAGGCCAAAATTAGGAAGAAAAAATGCTAATGTTGACTTATTCCATGTCGTAAAGACATCAAATCATACACATGGAAGATTAATCTCATCTACTCCCATGCTTTGAGATGTGCCTTTCCTTTTAAAACATTCTGACCATATTGGGGTATTTAATGCTGGTAGCCAGACTTCCTAAATAAGCCAGCTCCGAGAATATCTTCTTACCTATTATATTGTTTGGGTGCCCAAAATTAGCATTACTAAATCCTACACAGACACCCCCAAAAGCGATGGCCGCTAGGTCTTCAGGTTCTTTGGGGTCAGTTGCAGTCCAGTCTTTTTGTCCAGTACCAAATACTCTAAGCCGTGCAATTCCACCATCTGGAAAGGAAAGGTGCCTTAGTTATTGTTTATAAAAATGGCTGCTTGTGTGTCATAAACTGCAGGCCCCTCCTGTCTTCTCTAGTCTCCTCCCTTGGTAGGCTTTGGCCACACCTGCCTGCTGCTTCTCAAGTACAACAAGCCCACTGCCCCAGGGCCTTTGCCCTTGACATTACCCTGTGTCAGAACAACTTTCTCCGCTTTCCAAAAGACTACTTATGTTCCTCACTTTAAGGCCATGGCCTCAGAAAAGCCTTCCCTCTCATCCTCTGAAGTTATCTCCTCCCTGCTCCATCCGGCCACTGCCTGACTCCCCAGGTTACATGTTATCATATCCCTTTGCTTATTTACTCCAGAGCTCTAATTACAGTCTGAAGTTATCTTTCTAAGTTCCTGCTAAAATCAGTCTCCCAAACCCAGAATGCAAAATCCTTGCAGGCCAGACCAGTTAGCTATGTTGTTCACTTCTGTACCACTCTTGTATCATTTCTACCTAGAAGAGGTCCAGGCACATAGTAGGCATTGAAGTTTTTTTAATTAAATTAACAACTCCAAGTCAAACAGCATTTTGGAAATTTACCATACACATAATGTTTGGTGCTAGAAATGAGCATTGCTGACTCCCACAGACTCAGACAAGAGAACATTCTATTTTTATATTTACACCACCACACTGCTTAGCAATGCAATTGAGAATACAAAAGATAATATTCACAAGATCAAATTGCTGCTGAGAACCACAGCAGCCTGAAATTAGGTCTGCAGAGCAGCAAAGCGCTACTAAGATCAACTCACAGCATTGGATTCTAGTAGAATGATGTTTTGTTTCTTTGAATATTAATTCCTAGAAGGTGGAAGCCAAGCTTTTTTAACATAGAAAATTAATTTAAGCAAAACATTTTTCTAAAACAAGCCCTATATGTTTTTATTTTACAAATTTAATGCAAATGAGTGATCTGAAAAACTTTTTGGCAAAACAATGGAAGTCTTGCCGCTTACAACAAATAACACCAAACTTCATTGGCATAAAACCCTAGAAAATGTCCTAGAGGGAGTAATCCAGCAGGAGCTAGACTGTGAGAGTGAGATCACTGCCATTCCGGTTCATTAAATGTTATAATTGGCTTTAATGGTACAGAAGATACTCATCTGTTGAAAGTAAAGCCGATTTCACATTTTAAAAAATAAGGTTTTTCTTTACAGAGTTAATATCCAAACTTGCATTTAATCAAAACTGTCAAGGGATCCCAGAAATTACTCTTCACCCTCTGAGGACATCACATTTAAACCAACCCATTCCCACCCAATGTGTCCCTGTGACACCAGCCTGGTTTTTACCTGCTTCCTTTCCCTTCACACCTGGATCCCAGGCAGAATCTTCATGAAGCAATTAAAGATGCCATAAGAGTTGGGGCATGAAATCTGCACACAGATATTGCCCCCTCTCCTCTTCAGGCAGGCAACACTGACCAATTAGGAAAGAGCTTGTATGTGCTTAGGGACCCTTCATATTCAACCCAGAAAAGCAGATCTTCCACTCAGAAACTATTTTAGACCCTCCCTTGACTCATGAATCCTATACAAATTGGGTTGGACATATAAAGTTGCTATTTTGGTGGGTCAGAAATAGTAAAATAGAAATATTTATGACTCTACCAAAATACTTTTCTTATGAAATGTATCACTGTTTTGCAGTTATATTTTTTATCTGTCTCCCATTGTGTTATTCACTTTATAAGGACAAGAACTCTGTCAATTAAAGCTAACAACAGATAGTTATTGAGCTTCTCCTCTGTTCTCCATGCTGTGCTAAGTGTCAGGTGTATAAAAATGATGATCTGGACCCATGGCCCTTTCTTCATGAAGCTTACACTCTGTTGGCTCTGCCCTACACATTGCCAGGAAAATAATTATATGGCCAATGCCCAGTCTCTAGCTCAAAGTTGTTATTTCATAGTGTATGTTGAATTAACAAGTGGGGAAAGGCCTGAATCTCTTGTAAGCTTTGCCCATCCTTGTAAGTAAATGATTTTTTTTTAGATTAGATGATTTCAGTGAGTAATTAATATTAGTAAACATGTGTTTAGATCTTTCCATTTTTGTGTCTCGCTTTAAAGCATGATCACCAGAGAAGCATTGCATCAAAAATAAGGTTCCAGAGAGCCACTTCTGGCATGACAGCATGAGGAGCCTTCCTGTCCTATTCCTCAGTGGAGCTGGTGAGATTTAGAGGGGTTGGGAGATGGGAAACACACTTCAGGTCTCCAGAAATGGCCCTAAGGGCATACAGAAAATTCAGCAGCATCTATTCAAGAATATCTGCTAAAATTCAGAAAGAGCAGTGGTAGTCTGTGGTATACGAACCAAGACCTCACCTTCACTCCCTCTCCCACATCAGCAAAGTGGAGACTGAAAATAAGTGCAGCCCATGATTGCAGGGCTGTCTTCCCAGGAGAGGCAGGACATCAGAGCTCCTCATGCTGTCCCTACATGCCTGTTGCTGAGGCTAAGTCCTGGGTGAGTGTGGTTGAGAGGCGGAGTCTCCTTTATTTGACCCAGCCCTGACTCCTAGGACAGGGTTTTACCTTATACATGGACACTGAGGTACTGGGGCCACAGTGACCCATCTCATGGTCCATAAGGTGGAGGCTTCACACTGAGAGTGAGACATCCCATCCCCAGCCCTGCAAACTCTGTGACTCAGCCAGCGGAAACACAAAATCAGGGTTGCTGTTCAGCAGCACCATGCTGTTAAGAGGTTTGGTCCACAGGTCCCCTGGATCAGAGTTGTTGTTCAGCAGCACCATGCTGTTAAGAGGTTTGGTCCACAGGTCCCCTGGATCAGGGTTGTTGTTCAGCAGCACCATGCTGTTAAGAGGTTTGGTCCACAGGTCCCCTGGATCCGGGTTGTTGTTCAGCAGCACCATGCTGTTAAGAGGTTTGGTCCACAGGTCCCCTGGATCCGAGTTGTTGTTCAGCAGCACCATGCTGTTAAGAGGTTTGGTCCACAGGTCCCCTGGATCCGAGTTGCTGTTCAGCAGCACCATGCTGTTAAGAGGTTTGGTCCACAGGTCCCCTGGATCAGAGTTGCTGTTCAGCAGCACCATGTTGTAAGAGGCTTGGTCCACAGGTCGCCTGGGGACAAGCACCTAGCTAACCCTCCCACATCACTAGAACACGCCCTGAGGACCTCTCCTATTCTGATGGGCCGTAATTTGATTGTTTACTAAAAATGAGGCAATCTTGGGCTTAAGGTGCCATCTAGTGCTGAAAAGCAGGCAGCTACCTAGCAGGAAATAAAATCAACAGGTAATTTATAAAGATTCTGTAAGCTAAGTATGTCCAGCCCATGGCCAGTGGGTCTTAGGAGGCTCATGGTGGCCCTGAATGCAGCCCAACACAAATCCATAAACTTTCTTAAAACAGTATGAGATTTGTGTGTGTGTGTGTGTGTGTGTGTTTTGGCTCATTAGCTATCGTTGGTGTTATTTTATGTATGTCCCAAGACAATTCTTCTTCTAATGTGGCCCAGGTAAGCTAAAATGTTGGATACTCCCTACACCTAAGCAAGCATATTCAGTAAAAATGGAAACAAACCAGACAGAAAAGACTGGAATAAATAACTAATCCTTCAATGCACAGGCATAGATGCACATTCATAAGAAACAACAGCAAAGAACCATGACATCCCCAAATGGACAAAGCAAGGAACCAGTGGCTGATCATAATAACACAGTGACATACGAACTCTGTGACCAATAATTCCAAATATCAATTTTAAGGAAACTCAGTGACCTCAATGGTACACACAAAAAAGCAACTTAGAAGTTTATCAGAGAAATTTAACAAAGAGATTTAAATAATTTTCAAAAATCAAACAAATTTTTGAATGGAAAAACACATTTGCTGAACCAAAAAATTCATTAGAGGCTCTTAAGAGTAGAATGAAGCAAGCAGAGGAATGAATCAGTGAGCTCAAAAATGGGCTATTTAAAAATACACGGAAGAGGAAAAAATGAAAAAGAATAAAGATTGCCTACAAGATATAAAAAATTACCTCAAAAGAACAAATCTAAGAATTATTGGTGTTCAGGAGGGAGTTGCACAAGAGCAAGGGGTAGAAAGCTTATTCAAAGAAATAACAGAAAACTTTTTAAAACTTGATAAAGAGATAAATATCCTGGTACAGAAAGGTCAGAAAATACCAAATGAATTGTATCCAAATTAAGACTACTCCAAGGCATATAATAACTCCTAAAGGTCAAGGACAGGCTGGGTAAGGTGGCTTACACCTATAATTCCAACACTTTGGGAGTTCAAGGTGAGTGAATTCCTCGAGCCCAGGATTTTGAGACCAGCCTAGGCAATATGGTAAAACCCCATTTCTACAAAAACATACAAAAATTAGCCACGCATGGTGGTGTGTACCAAGGGTCCCAGCTACTTGGATGCTGATGTGGGAAGATCATCTGAGCCAAAGAAGGTCGAAGCTTCAGTAAGCTGTGATCACACCATTGGACTCCAGCTTGGGTGATAAAATGATACCCTGTTTCAAGAAAAAAATGAGACCCTGTTTCAAGAAAAAAAAAAACAGGTCAAGGATAAAAAATCCTGAAAGCAGCAAGATTAAAAAAAAAAATCAAATAACATAAAGAAGCTTCATTTCATCTGGCAACGGACTTCTCAATGTAAACCATACAGGCCAAGAAGAAGTGGGATGGAATGACATTTTAAAGTGCTGAAAGAAAAAAAGACTGTCATCCAAGAATTTTGTATCCAGAAAAGCTATCTTTCATACATGAAAGAAAGAGAAGATCTTTCCTGAATAAACAAAAGCTGAGAGACTTTACCACCACCACTCTTAAATGAAGTGCTAAAGTTCTTCAGTTTGAAAAAAAAAAAAAAAAAACACTAATGTGCAAAAAGAAAACATTTGAATTTATAAAACCCACTAGTAAAATTAAGTGCATTAACAAACTCAGAATATGCTAACACTGTAA